TAATGTAATCCCTATCCAAATACCAAAACATTTGTCACAGATAGAGAGAAAACAATCCTGAAAGTCATGTGAAACCGCAAAAGACTCCAATAGCCAAAAGAACAAAGCTGGAGGCATCAATCTACCTAATTTCAAAATATACTACAAAGCTATAAACTAAAACAGCATGATACAGACATAAAAACAGGCAAATAAGCCAATGAAACAGAACGGAGAATTCAGAAATAAATCTATATATTTACAGCCAACTCATTTTTCATGGAGGTGATTTTTGAACATTCAATGGGGAAAGGACACTCTTCAATAAATGGTGATAAGAAAACTGGAAATCTATTTGTAGAAAAATGAAATTAGACTCCTATGTCTCAGCACATACAAAAAAATTTTTTTAATGTGATATAAATGTAAGACCTGAAGCTATGAAACTACTAGAAGAAAACACAGGAGAAACATATCAGGACATTGGTCTGAGCAAAGATTTTTGAGTAAGGCCTCAAAAGCACAGACAACAAAAGCAAAAATAGGCAAATAGGATTACATACACTAAAAAGCTTCTGCACAGAAAAGGAAACAATTAACAGAGTGAGGAGACAATATGTTGAAATGGGAGAAAACATTTTCAAATTACTCATCTGACTAAGGACTGATACACAGAATTACAAGAAACTCAAATAACTCAACAGCAAAAAACTAAATAATCTCATTAAAAATAGACAAATGAGCTAAATAAACATTTCTCAAAAGAAGACATATAAATTGCTAACAAGCATATGAAAAAATTCTCAGTATTACTAATCATCAAGGAAACACAAATCAGAGCCAAAATGAGAGATATATCCAGTTAAAACGACCATTATTAAAATGACCAAAAAAAAAAAAGACGTTGGCAAGGATGTGGAGATCAGGAACCTTTAGCTTATTGCTGGTGGGAATATAAATTAGTATAGCCACTGTGTAAACTGGTAGAGAGGTTCCTATAAAAACTAAAAAGAGATCTACTATATATATGATCCAGCCAGCTATACAGTCAAAGAAAAGCAAGTCAGTATATAAAAGGGATACCTACAGCCCCACGTTTACTGTAACACTATGCACAATAGCCAAGATACAGAATCAGTCTAAGTGTCCACCAACAGACAAATGGATACAGAAAAGGTGGTATATATTTGGTCACAAAAAAGGGCAAAATACTGTCATGTGCAGTAACATGAATGGAAATAGAATTCACCATGTTAAGTAAAATAAGCCAGACACAGAAAGACAAATAGCACATGTTATTACTCATATGTGAGAGCCTAGTAAGTCGATCTCACAGAGGTAGAGAGTAGAATGGTGGTTACAAGAGGATGAGAAGGGTAGTGGAAAGGTGGATAAAGAGAGACTGGTTAATGGATACAAACATATAGTTAAAAGGAATGAGGCTCCGGTGTTTCACAACACAGTAAAGTGACTACAATTAACAAAAATTAATCGTAAATGTCAAAATAGAAGATTTGAAATGTTCCTGAGAAAAAGAAATGATAAATGTCCGAGGAGATAAGTATCCCAGTTGCCTTGATTTGATCATTACACAGTGTATGCATATACCAAAATATCACATGTACCTCATAAATATGTACAATCATTATGTATCAATTAAAAATGGAATAAGAAGCTACTAAACCAAACATTCAAGAATAAAGTGTTTAAGTGCTTTTTTTTAATAGTCAAATCATACTACATTCGACATTCCTGTCCTATTTGCCTTTAGTAAAAGGCTATAACGGAAAATGGATTTAATATTAGGCAATTTATCAGTATTTTTTCAGTTACATTACACATTAGTTGATTTATCATTTTCTTCCACATTTTCATACTAAAATCAAACTAGGATACGCACACCAGCCATATAAAAAATGTTGTTTTGGCAGAGTGCAGTGGCTTACACCTGTAATCCTAGCAATTTGGGAGGCCAAGGTGGGCAGATTGCTTGAGGTGAGGAGTCCAAGACCAACCTGGCCAACAGAGTGAAACCCCATCTTTACTAAAGATAAAAAAAATTAGCCAGGCATGGTAGCACACCCCTATAGTATCAGCTACTCAGGAGGCTGAGGCAGTAGAATTGCTGGAACCCAGGAGACAGAGGTTGCAGTGAGCTGAGATCATGCCACTGCATTCCAGCCTGGGCAACAGTGAGACTCCATCTCAAAAAAAAAAAAAAAAAAAAAGATTGTATAAACAATTACTTACATTGCTACCGAAGTAAATCTGACAAGTGAAATTGCTGTATTTCACCATGTTACAAAAATATATGGATTCCACATTAAATAACTATTTAAAGTTAAGATTTTTAAAATATGGAAGATAGTTACATTTTCATAATTAGTAACTAAAGAATATGTATTTTTTAGGATTCTTTTTAGTATGTCCTTTTTTTACACTCACCACACAAATTACTATTAAAAGTAGTCCAAACAAGCCTAGGTAAATGGTGTAACCCTGTCTCTACAAAAAAAATACAAAAATTAGCTTGATGTGGTAGCACATGCCAGTAGTCCCTGTTACTCGGGAATCTGAGGTGGAAGGATCAATTGAGCCCAGGAGGTGGAGGTTGGAGTGAGCCAAGATCACACCACTGCACTCCAGCCTGGGCAAGAGAGTGAGACCCTATCTCAAAAA